GCTCCTGTCACGCCGAACACCGTTTTGTGCGGTTCACTGTCGACGAGGAAAGCAGAAGACCAAAACCATTTTGGTAGAATCTTTGACTTTTGTTGGCAACGTTCCGTCTGACCATCGATTCCATCCAGAGGGTGCTTAAGGCCTTTCTTTCGGCGACCAATGACGAAACATGACTCCAGAAAGGCTTTCATTTTCATAATTTTCGCCAGTCTGAAATAGCCGTAGATTAGCAGGTCCAGATCTGGCACGTCTTTTTCATATTCACGGACTGTATCGGTGTCCCTAATGATAAAGTAAAATTTGGTCTAGTGTAACTGCGTTGTTTAGATGGTCCTGCTGGCCAGGCTATGTGCAACATTTGTTTTGCTGTCCATAAGATGGGCGTGGGAGCTGCTGCACCACTCGGGTACGACGTACTCCAGAGTCGATAACACTCTGGCATATGATGACACTCAGAGACTGCGGACACCACTCTCCCATGATGTCCTAACAAGTTTGCGAATAATGTTGATCCTAATCATTTTCTTCCCTTTCGTCTGCTCCTAGCTTAGCGTCGTATCAAACGTGACCCACATCCCTGAGTTGGTTGGATACAGGCACCCCACATTGCCTGAATCTGATCATTGATGTGGCTTTGCAACTGTTCAGGCGGAATGCGGAGACAACTTGTTTGGGCGTCCGCTTGAGAAGTAGGTCTCCAGTGCATAGGCGTGGTCCTGAAGAATCATTTCTTCAGCCTAAAGAGGTGAAGCATGTGTTCCCTGCGCAGTATCATCTGCGTAGATGAATTTGCGGGATGAAGATGACGTACTGCGCTGATCGCAGATGTGTGGATCGAATGAAGTCGCAGATACTACCGCTGTCGAAGGACTGTGTTTAGTGCCCTTGCACGGCAAACCAGGTTACTTCTGATTACTTAATATCTTAGTGCTAGCGCGAACTGTCTTTTGACTTAGGAGGACTGGTGACAGTCTTGGTGGGAGCCCTTTCCGTCACACAGTATCATGTGCCGACAATAGGTCTGTGAAGGCTGCCGCTGCTGGCGGCATTTATCGTTGGCGGCAAGCTCGAATGCGGCACGAAAAAATGCGCACTGCGGCAACTGAAATAGACTCGTGGCAAACGAAGTTTGGTGCGATGCTACAGTCAGATTTCCGTACGGCAAACGGGATGTACTGGCAGAGCATGTGTCGCCTCAGAGTTGGAAGAATGGCAGTCTGAGAGTCGCAAACGAGTACTCCGGAAGCGTTCCTAACAAGAAGAAAGATATACTTAGGCGGTGGAAAGAGCACTTTGAGGGACTTCATCGCCGCACAATAGGACTTGTCTGAATCGTAGCAGGCAACAAATGTTTGCCTTTCAGCAGACGAACCATTCATGAATGATGATGAATGACGAATGACGCTTATGGATTTAGTGAAAGGGGCATACTGTGGCTAATGCGTCTATGAATCGCAATGGCCGCGGGCAAAACTCTAGTGGATTAGATAACTGGGGTTGCAGTGCCTTTGTTCAATAATGAAGACTATAGGGAGTGCTCGAATCATCGGTCCATTACCACACTGAGCCTCCTGAGAAAAGTCTACACATAGGTGTTAAAACGGAGATGCCGCGGAATAACTGACTACGATACATGAACAGCAATGCCGTTTCTAATCAGGCCGAAGTTCCTATGACCAAGTTTTCGCTTTACGCCATATTGTTGAAAAATCATGGTAGTTCGCGTGCCGGTTCGAATATGCTTTGTTGATTCGGAAAATGCCCATAACCGGATTCCGCGACCAGGCTGTGGGAGTGCCTACAAGCATACGCGATCTGTAACTACCTGTTGTGAGCAGTCCAGTCGTCATACTTTGACAGCACGTTCTGAGTCAGAATAAATGGCGTTAAGGTGAAACCTTCTTAGTATGATAATGGTCCCCGCCAAAGCTGCATCCTGTTCCCTCTCCTGTTTGTGTTGTACATTCATAGAATAGTCAGGAGCTGCCAAAGCGACGAGTTTATTGGTGTAGGATATGTGGAGAAGAGAAGGTTGCTGTTTGCAGACGATGCTTTGTTGGCGTCTTCTGAAACTGATGTACAGTGTTCCCTGGAAAGGTTCGCAGCCGAGTGCGACATGGCCAGAAAGCATTTGAACGTGTCTGAAAATAAAAGCCTACTGGATTTGGTTCACTTCCATGCCATGATCTGCAGAAAAACGGATGGCGAAGTTCACGTTCCTCTCGGTTGTGTTTACTGGTGAAGGAATAAAACGTTAGAGATTCACCAGTAAACTGGATTCAGCAGCGACGTTCTACGCAAACTAGCTCGAACGATTTTGACTAAGGCAGAGCTTGGTCTAAAGTCGATGTTCAGCGCCATGCTCATCTACGGTCATGAGTCATGGGCCATGACTGAAAACCTTCTTTGCAAGCGGCTGAAATGACCTTCCTGAGACGAATCGTTGGCCTTGCGCGTCTCGACATGGTTCCGAGTACAGATATCCAACAGAAACATGGTGTGCAGCCGCTGCGTCTCTGGATTGAGAGTCACTGCTGCGATGGTTTGCGGATGTCTTCTGAATGCTTCCACAGAGAAAGGCAACTAATGCTAGCCCAACCTATCGACAAGAGATCCCGGGAAGGGATAACAATGACTTTGAGAAAGTGTATCAAAGGATTCAGCTGAAGATTCGGGATATCTTCTGCTGAAGCACAAGTACCGGTACAAGATAGGGTGCGTTGGAGACCCTGTCTGACACGTCTGTCCCCGCTACCGTAAAGAATAAGCGGAGAATGAAACTGGTTGGCTGGTAGCCGGTTTCTGTGTAGTTTGCTTGAGTCAGAACTTCGTCACAGAAATTTAGGCCAGCTCTGAAACTTTCTTCAATCTCAGAAGGAGCGAGAAT